GAGCAGTCCCGACCTTCCCATGACATTTCCCCCTTAGGAGTGGGAACGGGGCTGTTCCCGAGGCTCTGACCTTCCCGCTGCCCTTGTAGGGCCGGATGCTCCATYGATCTCATTGATCCCATCCGGATCCCGGCACTTCCCCCATTCCCTTCTCACCATTCCTGGGATGAACCGGCCCCGAGAGCGTTCCTTGCTCCGGGAGCTCCCGATCGTGTTTGGGATTGGGATTTGGGATCGTGTTTGGGATCGCGTTTGGGATCGTGATTTGGGGTCTATCCCCCCCTTTCCCAACCCCTTTTCTCTCATTTCTGCAGGGAAGCTCCGGGAAAGGCTCCGGGCGCAGCGACCCCGCCATGGCCTCACCCCCCCCGGCCGCAGTAGGTACGGGCACTGCAGGGATTTGGGGAGGGGGCAGCCTTGGGATCGGGGATTTGGGAAGAGGGACCCCCATCCTTGGGAATTGGGGGAAGTAGGGAGCAGCACCTGCATATCCTATACCCCACCCCGTGTCTCTGTGCTCCTCCCCCTCCATTTCCGTTCTCCATCCCCTCCATCCCTCTCCATCTCCATCCCATTTCCATCCTCCTTCTCCTCCTCCATCTCCCTTTTCCTCCATCCCACTTCTCCATCTCCTCTCCCTTTTCCTCCTCCATCTCCATCCCCTTTTTCCTCCTCCTCCATCCCCCTTCTCCTTTTCCATTTCCGTCCCCTCCTCCTCCATCCCCCTTTCCCCTCCATCCCCCTTTTCCTCCTCTTCCTCCGTCCCCCCTCCTTTTCCATCTCCTCCATCTCCATCCCCCTTCTCCATCTCCTCCATCCCCCTTTTCCATCCCCCTTTTCCTCCTCCATCTCCATCTCCTTTTTCCTCCTCGTCCATCTCCTTTCCTCTCCCTGCCCCATTCCCATTCCTGTTCCCGTTCCCATTCCTGTTCCTATTCCCATTCCCACTCCCATTCCCGTTCCCATTCCCGTTCCCATTCCCGTTCCCGTTCCCATTCCCGTTCCCATTCCCGTTCCCATTCCCATTCCCGTTCCCGTTTCCGTTCCCGGTGCAGCAGCGCCCCCGGAGTCCCCCAGCCCCGACCCTCTGGGGATGGAGGATCTGGGCCAGGCCTTCGACTTCGAGGACAGCGAGGATGAGGAGGATGAGGATGAGGAGGATTTGGGATTGGCCGATCCCGGGGCTGATCCCGATCCTGATCCCGATCCCGGGGCCGATCCTGGAGCCGATCCCGGCACTGACGTTCTCCAGGCGCCCCCGCGCCGGCGGCGCACACCCAGCTCCGGTGAGGAAGCGTTTCCGGTGTTCCCAGTGCAGAATTCCCAGAATTTCTGGAATACCTGGCATTCCCAGTTTGGAATTCCCAGGATTCCCAGTGTTCCTGCTGTTCCCATTTCAGAATTCCCAGCATTCCCAAAGTTCCCAGAATTCCCAGAGTTCTCAGAATTCCCGGTGTTCCCAGAATTCCCAGCATTCCCAGAGTTCCCAGAATTCCCAGAATTCCCAGAGATCCCAGTATTCCCGCTGTTCCCGCTGTGCTGATGCCATTTCCTTTTCCTTTCCTTCCCCACAGCTGAGCTGGGGCCAGAGACCCCGCAAGGGTGAGTGGGGTTTGGGGTATTTATGGGATTTCCTGGAAATTCGGGGCATTCCTGTGGGATTTGGAGGGGTTTAATGTGATTTCCTGGGAATTCGGGAGATTCTGGTGGGATTTGAGAGATTTTTAATGGGATTTTTAGGGAATTCAAGTGGTTTCTGGTGGGCTTTGGGAGGGTTTAATGGGATTTCCAC